CAAAAAACAGCGACATAGGGGTGCCGGCAGTGTAATGGTTAACGTGTCTGCGTTAACCACTGCGCGTCTGGGAAACCAGAGGCACGGGGTTCGATTACCCGCGGTGCCCGTCCTTCCTGCCAGGGTGAAAGGTAGGCGGACACCATATAGCCTCAGCACCTGAGTGCGTGGTAAAGCCCCAGTGACATGACACACAAAAACAGCGACATAGTTTTGATTTTTAAATCGCAATAAACATCAAGGATTACGTAAGGCGGCATGTTTCCAAAAACAAAACATTCATCGCAGTGGTTCTAAGTAACTTCTTCTCATTTATGCAAAGTGCAAATCACATATTTTTTTCTTATCTGTGATCAAGAAATACTAAATGGGCATTAAAACTATCCTTCGAAGTAAAGTCTCCCGTTGTCGCATCGTACTAAAAAATGCCCTAGCAATGGCCCGCGGTGGCGGCCATGGCCTGGGTAGCCACCTTAACCAACCGAAAACCAAAATTCACGGAGCCTTGATCTAGCGGAAGCCAATGACGATAAATCAAAAGCGGAATTAGTAAATCGTTTTTTTTGCAGAAATATGTACAGCGTATGGACCGCTGCGCACAGAAGAGCTTCCCTGCTATCAGCCTGCCAATAGCATTCCTGCTGAGATATAGCCGTGGCAAGTTGCTTTTCAGCTATCGCAGTTGAGAGAAAATATGGCTGTGCCCACTGGACAACTTCCAATGCGGTTAGTAAAGAAATTTTCTGTGGAACTGGCCGTACCACTCGCTCATATTTTCAATCAGTCATTGCATGAAGGGTGCGTGCCATTGGTGTGAAAGAGAGCAACAATCACCCCTGTGCCGAAGAAAACATCGCCCAAGCTGCCAGGAGATCGGAGACCGCTAAGCCTCACACCGACTTTTAGCAAGGTTTTGGAAAAAATTATGGTTCCACAAATTCTGGCGGATGTAAAACCAAGCGTAGATAAGCGCCAATACGGAAATATGAAAGGTGCCTCAACGTCACACTATTCAATTAGGTTGCTGCGCGATTTGCTGACGGAGTTAGACGAAGCTGACAAATTATTTCCTATGGTTATGTACAATTTTAAGAAGGAATTTGACCTCATTGATCACACAACAGTTAGTCCAGAATATGCTTGCAATGGGACTTAGCTCCGGGTATGGCTTTGCTCATTCTTGCAGGACCGACAGCAGCGGGTCAAGATGCCAGATGGAATCATGCGTCGTTGGAGAACCATAACATGCGGCACTCCGCAAGGCACTTTAGTCGGCCCGGTTGCTTTCCTGGCTATGGTTAACGGTGCCGCTGCTGATATTGACAACCGACTTAAGTATGTAGACGACCTTACCATTCACCAGGCGTGTCGAACTGACCAAGTAGATCGACACTGCCAGTTACAAGAGCACACTAACAAGATAAGTGATTGGGCAGCGGCAAACAAGATGATGTTGAACGATGACAAATGTCAAGTCATGCATTTTTTCACGGCCAAAAAACCATTAGTACTACCGGACATCATGATTCAAGGAAAAGCCTGCCAACCGCCATCAAAACTAAGCTTTTAGGTGTAACAATATCAAATGGCATGTCATGGCAAGCACATGTGGATGATATTGTAGCCAAAGCATCGAAAGCTTTATATATGCTCTACATAATAAAGAAGTACCATCCACCACAGGAACAGCTTGTTCGTGTGTATGTTGCTTACACCCGGCCATCGCTAGAATATTGTGCACCGGTTTTTCACGCGGGACTCACTGCCAAGCAGGCGCAACATCTTGAGAAAGTGCAGAAGAGACGCTTGAAAATCATCTTCGGCCATTCGGAAAAGTACTCGCACATCTTGTAACGCTCGGGCATGGAAACCCTCGCTGACAGAAGAGAAAAGCTATGCCTAAGGCTAGGAAAACAAATGCAAGCGTCTGCCATGCATAGAAATCTGCTTCCAAAGCAGCGAGTGGCGATCTCCGGTAAAAATACCAGAAGCGCAAGCACACTTCAAATGTTTTGCTGTGGTACGCGACTACGCAAACCAAGCATTCTCCATGTAACCACTCCCATAAACAGATATGTTATCAACTAAGTAGTGTCCTACTTCATATGTATATTGTGCACATGTGCTATATGAATTGATACTCGAAGCCATGCTGTTCTCAATAAACCCGTCTCTCTCTCTCTCTCTCTCTCTCTCTCTCTCTCTCTCTCTCTCTCCTCTCTCTCTCTCTCTCTCTCTCTCTCTCTCTCTCTCTCTCTCTCTCTCTCTCTCTCTCTCTCTCTCTCTCTCTCTCTCTCTCTCTCTCTCTCTCTCTCTCTCTCTCTCTCTCTCTCTCTCTCTCTCTCTCTCTCTCTCTCTCTCTCTCTCTCTCTCTCTCTCTCTCTCTCTCTCTCTCTCTCTCTCTCTCTCTCTCTCTCTCTCTCTCTCTCTCTCCTCTCTCTCTCTCTCTCTCTCTCTCTCTCTCTCTCTCTCTCTCTCTCTCTCTCTCTCTCTCTCTCTCTCTCTCTCCTCTCTCTCTCTCTCTCTCTCTCTCTCTCTCTCTCTCTCTCTCTCTGCCTTTCACGTGCCATTGGTCAGCGACCTTACAAGGTTCATCTAATTTTCATACCAAATGATCGGCTATTTAGTTGTCTACAGCTATGCGAGCTTTGAAGCAATCAGGCAGCGCCGTTCAGAAGTTAGTTTAGAAAACCCGTAGGGCAGTATGGGAGTCTGCAATTGATAGCTTGGAGGTCTGCGACTCCCCACAGGGTGCCAATTACGTGACACGCCACATGGTGGTCGTTGTAACATTCGGAAACCCAAAAGTGGCTCCGGCGTCGGCGGTTACGCAGAAAACCGACTCCAGCACGATTTCAGGTAACACAGCGACCCCTTTTTCGGAATGTGACACTCCTAACGAGCTTTGAGCCTACGAAAATGGTGATCGAGTGAGACTCCTGGGTGCAAATTTTTAAATTTTCTTTATACTTTTTCAGTGTACTTTGGTCTCTTCATCGTGCTGGCTACGAAATTTGATCACACGCGCGGCGCTCAAAGTGCGCTCTTTGGAAGAAGATATCTTGGTCATGATATTGCATAATAATTTGCCCTTGACTGGGAAGGCCTGTAGCCGGTAGCAGCAACTGCTCTACATATCTGGTGACCTCAAAGAGCACGCCAGACGGTGCCGAGCGTTGCAGCACGGCACGTCTATAAAATGGCTCGTAAAACAATGTGTGGATGGAGTTTTGATCGATGGAGTTTTGAACTGAGACAGCCGTTATAAAGATCACTCAATGTAATTCACAACCAGGCCCTTTTAAAGACGTCCGACGCTTTTGTTGCTGAGCTTGACGCACGCCATCTGTGCATCCTATTTCACTCAACCTATTCAAAGGTCACCCATTGCCATATGTGTGTGTGCGTGTGTGTGTGTGTGTGTGTGTGTGTGTGTGTGTGTATGTGTGTGTGTGTGTGTGTGTGTGTGTGTGTGTGTGTGTGTGTGTGTGTGTGTCGGTTGGCGTTCAACCAATGTAATGCGATGAGTGCAAGAGTCGAACGCGAATCATGTTTAGTACTACATAGCATACAAATTTGGGCAGCGATATTAGTTATAACGGAAATAAGACTAGGAATCGAATAACTTAAGAAAAGTGTTGTAGCGGAGCATGTAAATGCAAGTCAACAAAAATCCACCAACAAATATGCAATAACACTTCGAGAAAGGGCCAAAACACGCACACGTAACGATATTCCGATTCAACAAACAAGCGTCAGTTAGTAAGCCCACCTCTCGGCAAGTTGAAGTACTACAAGTAACTCAACCCGTTCTCTACAGTGAGAATTCTAACGCGGCCAGTCTATCGGCGACTCTGACGTCATGAAAACGTTGCATGACGTAATCACACGATGGTCTATTGAGTAGCATATTTCCTAAATGGTGAAATGTTTTGTCTTAATCAGTATGTCGCACTAAAACGCATTTATCATTCTGAGCTTGCCTTAATATCTTCAGATGTGAAACAGTCTTCTTAAAGCGTGTAAATTCGTCAGAGATGACAAATTAACAGCGGGCGTTTGCCAGACCGTGAATTTCGGCTGCACAACAACACATACCAGTGATATCTTTTGGCGCAATAGGCTGCTGCGAACTTAGGTGCAGACCACCGTGCCGGAAATCGGCAAGCACCCGATTCATCCGGGTCACGGCACCATTTAAACGCGCCTGTCTAATGTGCAGCGCAAGCAGTGAGCCATTCGTGACGTCTGGCTTGCGAATGACACTCGAATAAATGACAGACTACACCCGTTCTCAAGAGAATATCCGGGCTCGGGAGAATACTGTCAACGTTACAGCCTAGAATCGCCTGCCTATAGCGGCAACGCACGGCCCTGATGTTTCGCTCGCCCTCGCCGCACCAGGATGTCACCATCCAGCTGGCAGCATATACAATGACCGTCTTTTGCCATGGTTGCGCGATCAGCGCATGACATTTGAGAGGTTGGATTTTGTGCATATTAAGAGCGTGCATATCATGCAGCGGGACGCACTAATCGCTCTGAGCTGACAGTCCGTGTGCGTCATACAAACGGTACTGGGTTGTGCCCGCACTGAGCCGGAAGCAAACCGCCGGCCATCCAGCGCACATAGTTCGGGGGGGGCATATCTGGGACAAGGCATCTTGATAAGAAACGCAGAAACGTACACGCACAAAAAAACGCAAGCGAAGCGCTTTTTAAAACACGGGAGACGACGCAGAGACAGCACAAAGCGGCAGCACAAGTGCTGCAGCTTGCGTGTTATAGATTTCCGGTGCCACGGTGGAATCACGCCTCAGTGATACTTTGGCAGGGGCCAGCTGGCTACACGACAGCGGGACGAGATAGTGGCGCAATCCGACAGCGCACGCCAACATTTTCGCGATTCGTGCGTCATGTCAGCTGTGGACAAGTACGCGTGACGACGGTGCTCCGCGTTATTAAGCGGGTGCGTGCCGACGGCAGGATCAGAGTGGCAGCTTCGCCCGGCTCGACACCATGCAGCAGACATTCCTGCTCCGTGGCCTGACGCTGAGTCTGCTGGCGCTCAGCGCCGCCGGTGAGCACCCGGGCCACTCGACCGTCTGGAGCGCCGCCTGCAGACATACGGCTGTCTCCTGCACTTAACCGAGATACGGGGCACTCTTTACATGTTACGAGCATTTGAACCCTGCCTGGTCTATAGGCGAATAGACGTTGTCGGCAAAGCACATCATTGGTCGCTGGTGTACATAGGCTGTGCAGGGGCTGCAGCACAATGTTCGATATGCTCGATTGCTCACCCTTGAAAAAGGTTGTACTAGCCGTAGTATTCCCAAATTTGCCATAATGCCTTCTTCCCTCTGACCCTGTAAATATGTTTTGGGATGTTTTCTGGTAGGCAGCTTAAAAGTGACAGACATGTATTGTATGTTACAGACTTCAACGGCATTTTATTAACTCTGTTGCGCTGGTTCCATACAGGATGCACCGAACAGGAGACGAAAGAAGAGGAAAAGCAAGGGCGTCTAGACGTTACACAGCATGGTACTTCCTCACTTCCCAGAATGTCACGTAAACATGAACTCTGGTACCACTCATTCTTCTGCTCTGCTCTGCCTTTAGGCGGTGTCTTAATATCATCTTTAAATTCAGCGGAAGCCACTATAACTGAACCCTAAGCTGCGAAATACTGTTTTTATTTTAAGATTTCGCTTGCGCTCCATGACTTCGGTTCAAAATTCTGCAAGCCCCACATCCCCGACTTATGAAACTATGTGCATAGGCCGAAATGTATCAATGCTTGTATGTTTGTACAGCTAGCGATACCAGAATGACGCCCCCCCCCCCCCCCCCCCCCCCCCCACTCCACCCCAGAAGGCCACGGCTGTGATTGCATGCGATGGACGCCTTGGATCAACGCTGACCAGGTTGACGCTAACAACGGCGACTTCGAGACGATTGGCTACAACCTGGCTGTGGAGGGTGGCGACGCTGGTCGCGTGACCAAGATACTGGCCCGCCTCGGCATTGTCTGCAACACGCCCATACAGGTGGAGTGTCGCAGCGCGCGCACAGGCGCCCCCTGGTTCCGCACCGGTGACGACACCGCCCCTCGCAGACGCCTCAACTGCGACAGCGAGGACGGCTTCATCTGCCACGATCGGGAGCAGGCGGACGGCCGCTGTCAGGACTATGAGGTGAGTCGGCTCTATAACGTGTTGCTTGTTAGCAATTGGAGCTGAGAAGTCGGACTGGAGGACTTGGAAAAGATTGGAACGCATCCGAATTTGCCAAACTTTGAATACTGCGATCAAAGTCGGAGCCTTATGAATCATCCTTGGAATCTTCGAGGCCACCGTCGAATCATGGCAGCCCCCATAGAAACCTGTGAACATGATTTATAAAATATGCCCATGCCTCAACGTTTCCTCAAACGCGTGCGACCCAAGCTAATGTTCATGTTACAGCGTGATCAATGTTGTAGATGATGATGTTGTGGGCGTCCCAAGTTGTGTGGTGGAAATCAAGATCAGTAAAAATCTGCTTAAGGAGCAGCATACAAACTCTGCGATATTATTGCCGATGCTCCATTTCCTGGCTACCAATGCCGTGGCGTGGGACGGCTCAACGACCGCAATTGACGGATTTTTGCGTCAGCCGTCAGTCCTGCTGTTTAAAGACAAAAAGGATCATCAGGATTCCACTCTATCGTGTATGTTCCTAAGTCTACTGTTCTCTTACGGGCGTTCGATAAACACGCGGTGAAGGCAGCCACGCCAGCGCCTAAACCTGCGGTGGCAATGTCACGATCGCAGCGAGAACGGAAATTGTCGAACTCGAGTGCGCATGTCCGGGACCTGCTAAATATGAGGGGCTGAAAATGATACCCCGGAGACATTTCTTGTTTCCAATATATGCACTTATTGAGTGGTACCCATCAATAGCTAAGAAAAAGAAAACGACGAAAAAAATCTAGGAAAACAGGCGCCGAAACACTCGTCTGCCTTCACCAGGTGCGACTGCTCTGCTGGACGGCATGCAAGAACTTGCGGTGGTCGCAGTGGTTCGACAAGGACAACCCAAGCGGCAGCTGCGACTGCGAGCACCCCGGCTGGCACGACCACCCGGCCCGGCACGCACCTCCCTGCCCGACTGGTACGACCTCCCCAATGGCCTTACCCATTACTTTTATCCTGTTCCAGAATATGTTCTACGATTTAATACGGAGCATTTGAGTAGATCGATTTTTCGGGATCAGAGCTCACGCTAAGCGGTGTTTGTTGTGCGGGACCTCACTCCTGCCATCCGATCGCGCAAGTCCAGGTCAACGGCAAAGTCTAGTGGTGAAAACTGCGCGTGCTGCAATGCCCAGCACGGTGCGGCTGCCCCCGGACGATAACTGACCTTTAGCACAGCCACTGCTACCGGCAACTGCCACCGACCGCGCGCCATATCTGCCAATGGCAAATAGCCAGCGCCTAAAGCGACTCGAACCGCCACGGCATAATGACTACGTGCATGTAATAAAAAAGTATAAGCTACTGCTGCTGCCATTCGAGTTGCAAATGGTCAATGGCGAAAGTACCTACCTTTGAAACAGCGGCGCGGAAGCACCAGTGTCAGGCCATCACATTTTTAATTTGTAATGCCCATGCAATGTTTGTTAGCTGTCACTCAAACGGGTCGTTGTCTTGCTCTACGCAAAGCATCACCAGCCTGCTTGTCATGAGTGATGACCCGCTGGTGACCGTTGTGACCCCAGGTCAGACGCCGCTGGAGGTGGACTGCCAGACGCTGACAGATGTGCAGGCGGCCGTCGGACCCGATAAGGCGGTCCGCTGCAGCGTCAACGACGGCTTCACCTGCTGGAACGCCGACCAGGGCGGTGGTCAGTGCGCTGATTACCGTGTCCGCTACCTGTGCGGCGACCCCAGTGCTTGAGGCGCGCGCTCTGCCACGGACTGTCACCGACCCGCCTCATGGAGAAGACTGGCGCCGGAGCGTCCCGGAGCCACGAGCGTGCCTCCAGTCACGGACCCCGGTCACGTGCACCTCCGGAATCAGTGCTGATTCTCACTGTCCCCAGCTCTCTGCTACTTTCTCTTTCCGATTTACGGGTTTTCGGTGCGATTTTGATCACGAGTGATTGCCAGATTCCGGGACCTCAGGATCCTAGGATCCCGAGGTGACTGAAAGATAGTGTGCCTTGGCTTCCTGCACCTTTTGTTCTTCCGTCGCTATCATCGAAATAACTGATAACATTTAAACCATGTGCAGGTAGGTGGCTCTGAAGCTCTGCTCACGGTTCGTTTGCATCGTATGCATTTTACCTGAAGTTTCGTTGCATTTATCGGCTTGTTTTAACTGTACATCATTTGTCTACTGAATTTCTATTAGCTGCATCCTGCGGCCTTTGGAATTATTTGTGCAGTGCATGACTCCTAGAACTCACCAGCCTTTAGGTTCACTTGTCAGTAAACCATGCTGAGCATCTTCAACATTTTACTCCAAACGCTTGCTGTGTGACTCGCTCTAATGCTTCTGGTGAATGGGATAATACATCTGATATTGCTGAGATTGTTGAGTTTTCATGACTTCATCCCAGTAATGTTCTAGTACCCGTGCGTTCGGTTGGTTCATTTCACCAAGAGGGGGGAAGTTTGCAGGGGTGAAAATAATGTCTTTTCTGCCACCGACGAAATTTGGAACCGTCTGAATTGTCACCTAGAGCCATATCGTTCAGAAATGCCGTTGCAAAATAGCTGTAAATGCGATGCAGCACAAAAGCAGCGATAAATGGGATGCGATACGACGCAACCATGAAATGTTTTCGTTTCGGGAGTTAATTTGCACTAAAGTACCATTTGCTGGCCATCAAACACCGAGTCATGGCTGAGACTAAACTGATAAAATTATCAGATAAACGCATACAGATCTACACAGCCTAGAGGTGTGTGGTTTCCTACTAGGTTGGGGGATTCTGCCTCCTAACCAAAAATGTAACTTTCTACTTTAAGTTGTCATCTTTTATCCAAAATTTTGAGACACTACATCCATGCTTCCAGCTCTGAAATGAAAGCATGTCAGATCTGCGGAGAGAACTATTTTAAGTACATATCGGAGGCGGGCTCAGCTACGCTGCCTTCCGCCCCCCCCCCCCCCCTCTCTCACCCCTAAATGTTCTGCAAAACTCCATCCCTACAGCCCGATATTTACCGATAACACGATTCTGCAAGCACCTGAAAATAATATCACTTTTGGTTTTGTAACGTCTCGCACAATCAGCTGGAAGCGTTGATGGCCTATACTACCCTCGCATAATCATTAGCGATACAGAACTCGCACTTCCTACCATGATCCCAGTTAGTTACTGAGCCCATGTAATATGGGCATCGACAGATGCAAAAGACATCTTTTAATGTCTGCAGCACTGCTATTTAGCTTCGAATGCAATATGATGACCATAAAAAACTTGTTTTTTTCTCAAGCCAGTCCACCGATCAGTACGCTAAGCCTGAGTTGCAATGGGCAGTGTGAAAGGCCTACACCAGTGGTACTCCGCCTCCTAACTCGAAGCCGCTGTTCTCAGCAACAGGAAGCCAAAGATAAATATTTGACACGTGCCGCTCTGACGTCCTTCCTTCATGTCAAAGGCCACAGCTCTGATGTCTACAAACAACAATCCTATATTGGCGGGGCTTATGACGCTATTTCTAGGGACATCCTCCATGGCAAATCGTTAGAAAAGCCGCACAGCACCTCAAAAGAGCTGACGATTAGCAACGTTCTTCTACCCAGTCGGCCTCTCACGCTATGAGCGCAACCAACAGCAGCCTTCAGCCTCGCCTTGAACCCAGTGCATTGCCGCGGAGCGAGCATTCGGGCCCATTTGTCTTAAATGGCACGACGCTTTAAAATATCGCGTAGCAAGCTGATCACGTTCATCGCAGAACGCTGCGATCACGCACGATTGTCACGACTAGTAGTAAGCCTAGATATTTGGCATTTTACACTGCTTAGTATGTGAAGAGGATCTTGGCTGAAAAAATCTGTAAAAAATACTGATCTTAGAGACATAAGAAAAACACTATGTCGCCGCTAGCCTGTAACCTGAGCACTGATATCTTATAGTTTGCATTATACTTCTGTCATCTGCTAAAGACTATCTTGATTAAAGCTGGTATGTTTGACAACATTTTGTCACTAAACTTCGTCATGCAGCGGAACATCAACGTCTCGACATGTGCTCGCCATGTGCAGCGTTAGCGAGTGCGGACCAATGCTACGCTTTAACTTTCGTCTAGCTGGGGTGGTCTGTTTTAATACTGTAAAATTTATTGTAATTTGTTTTCAATTTTGCAATTCTATCACAAATTAGCTCGCAAAAATGTCGGTTTTTTGTCACCAGTCATATCCGGTATATCAGAAGCTTTCTCACCGTCAGAAGTGTGCTAGAAGTTCTGACACACTGCGACTTACATGACCTCCCCAAGGTAGAAATACGATTCAACCGCAGAAGCTTGATGATAAGTTCCAGGATGCATGTGAAACCCACGTAAATCGCAGGCATTCTCGTTTATTTGCACTTCATTAGGACGTTTTGGACGACTGACCACTCCGAATTGTGCATCAAGGATTCATGAAATCGCTCCAGTGTTCATCAGTATTAAAGGCGCGGCAACGTGAGATGCTGGTACGGTTTAACATCAGCAATTGCCACCACTTGAAGTGATTTGAACGGCCAAAAGCATTCCAAGATATATTCGCAGCGATCCGAACAACACATATTTTTCGTAATTTCACGCAGAAGCCTTGACGGACGCGCAAGATCTTATCCAATCCGACGGTTCAAACTTAACATGCGCTGGGGGGGGGGGGTAAACTTGACCCTCCCACCCCAAAGGATTTTCCAGAGTGATTTCCGAACGGCGCGGCTGTTGCATAGCTGTAGGCAATGAAATAGCTGATCGTTTGGTATAACAAACTTAGATGCATCTTGTAAGGTCGCTGACCTATGGCAGGTCAAATTCGGGCCATAGTTTCAGCGAAGTCAGTTTCTAGGAAATAAGGTCAGACCAAGGTCAAAACCAACCTGTTTTATAGCTCTTGGACTTGCTGTATGGGATAGTTTCTGGTGCCCAGTTCGAATTTATTGATAGCAAAAACCGCATTATAATCTTCCGTTGACTTCTTGGGGTTCAGAATAGGCCATTTACCTAAAATGACTCAGGTCAACATTTTGCTTTCAGGAACATACATCCTAGCGTTATCTTTGTCGCTTATGCAAATGCAAAACTCAGAACAGCCTTGTATGGTTTTGGTTACCACGACTTTCAAAACGTCAAACAAGGTCACTGACCTTAAATGAGTATGCGACCTTTTGCTTAGGAAGAGCTATCTAGGTTTTGGAGGCACTTTGGAGACCAACCTGGAATTTGACCTTGTTTGACCTTATTTGACCCGAGGATCATAACCTAGGAACCTCAAACTTTGACCTAAGTGGGTTCACGTACAGGTCAACACATCCTGTAAATTTGGTGTTTCCAGCCTTCTTAGCTCCCAAGATCTTAGCGGGGTCAAATTGACTCCCCCACCCGAGCGAAGGACATCCAGCCGGCCACCCGAGCGCGCGTTGACGAAGATTTCATAAAAAGTCCGGTTGTAAACAAGCTCTTTTATGTTCGCACGTCAGATGATGGGATGAAAATGCTTGGAATACGTTACAAACAGCATAATGTGTAGCTTCCATACGCTTTTCGTTCTTGTCGGCAAGCATAGTAATTGCAGACAAACCTGCTCAAATATTCGCTATGCTTGCACATCTTGCACGTGCAGCTAATGCAATAAAGATCACAGAAGTGTAAACTGAAAATTTGTTACACTGCGTACACGTCCGGTGAAAGATTCTGCGTAGGCGTGACGTCGAGAAGGGTGGGGTGGGCTGCTAGTGGGGCTCCGTGATATAATCCATGATCTGTTCAGGGGGCATTAATTTCAAGCTTAGTGCGGGCCGTGGCACTCATTTTCGAGCTCTGGCGAAGGGTGTAGACTCATGCACGCGCCGCGACGTCCGGGGGCGTGGGACGACTCCTGTTACGGCCGACTTTTCCGCAGTGTTGAGATGGAGCACGGAGTGAACACGGTTGCAGACTGGCGATAGACATTTTGGGTGCAAGGGTGTTTTGATTATCTTTATGATGCATATATATATATATATATATATATATATATATATATATATATATATATTCGTCGCTTTTTCATTCTAACGTTTCGAGATCGTATCTTATCGTCGGAGAAGACTGAATGGCACAGGGAATAAATTTTGAGTTTAAAGGACAAAAAATTGTGCACTTCTATCGGGAAACATATTTTGGTTCGGAGAACACAACTGAAGCATGACTGGTTGAAAAAAGACAGAGATATAGTCTCACTTTGATAAACATAAGATACACTCATAATGGGAACACAACAAAGACACAGTGACCACGCAACTGCCACAATCACATCAATGGTGCTCATCGCCCACCATCTAGCAGTTCAAGAATTGTGCAAGAAGTTTTTTTCTGCTTAGGGCAGAATGAGAGCTCGTTGATGAATACATTTTCCCAAATTTGAAGGCGTCTACCGTCATTGCACGTTCATAAAATGTCAGTGTTGTCTGTCAGTTGTTGTCGTGTCAATGTCCTGTCGTGCTCGTGTCGCATGTGGTCCGGAGGTGCCCCGACACGTAAGTGCATTGTCGCGCGTCGTGAGAGTGTCGTGGTCACACCAATGTAGTGCATGGAACGAAGTTTGCAGCCTTCGATGCTACATTTGAATCGATACACTACATTGGTGCATTTTAGTTTGTCGTGTTTGTCTGGGCTGTTTCTCATAAGAAAGTTACAACGGCATATGGCAGGACACTTTGAAAGCAAACCAGCATAAGACATCCAACCAACCGTCAAAACTGTATTATCAAAATCAAATGACATCTGCCAACAAAGAAGACGAAAAAAATTACGGGAAATTATCCTTCGACGTGTTAAAGGCAAAAACGACCACAAAGTAGACATCGTCATTTATTATCGTAATAAGAAAATCTTTTGCTTTCTTATAAGTGCGGAAGAGAAAGTATGACGGGATAAATAAGAGATAGAATAAGAAAGAAAGCGGAATAAGAAAGTGTATTCATTAAAGAACTCTCATCCGGTCTCAAACAGGCAAGCAAATTCTTGCACAACTCTTGAACTGTTAGATGGTGGGCGATGAGCACCATTGATGTGATTGTGGCAATTGTGTCGCCACTGTATCTCTGTAGCGTTCCCATCATGAGCGTATCTTATGTTCATCAAAGTGAAAATAGGATTCTCTGTCTTACTTCAACTAGTCATGCTTCAGTTGTGTTCTCCGTGCCAAAGAATGTTTTCCAATAGTCCTGCACATATTTTATCCTTCAAAACTCAAAGCTGATTTCCTGCTGCCATTCAGTCTTCTCCGACGATGAAATAAGATCTCTAAACGTCAAAATGAAAAAAGCAACGAAAATCTGAGCATTTTTTGCAAGCCATCTTTAATATACATATAT